AAGTGGTATATATATACAATGGAATATTATGCAGCCATCAAAAGGAATGAGATCTTGCCATTTGCAACGACGTGGATGGAACTGGAAGGTATTATGCTGAGCTAAATAAGTCAATCAGAGAAAGACATATATCATATGATCTCACTGATATGAGGCATTCTTAATCTCAGGAAACAAACTGAGGGTTGCTGGAGTGGTACGGGATGGGAGGCATGGGGTGGCTGGGTGATAGACACTGGGGAGGGTATGTGCTATGGTGAGCACTGTGAACTGTGTAGACTGTTGAATCACAGAACTGTACCTCTGAAAAAATAATACATTATATGTTAAAAAAAAGAAGATAGTAGGAAGGGAAAAGTGAAGGGGGGGAAATTGGATGGGGAGATGAACCATGAAAGACTATGGACTCTGAGAAACAAACTGAGGGTTCTAGAGGGGAGGGGAGTGGGAGGATGGGGTAGCCTGGTGATGGGTATTAAAGAGGGCACATACTGAATGGAGCACTGGGTGTTATTCGCAAACAATGAATCATGGAACACTACATCAAAAACTAATGATGTAATGTATGGTGACTAACATAATAAAATTTTTAAAAAATGCAAAAAAAAAAGAAAAAATATTGGAATAACTTTGGGTAAACAACGTTATACTCTGAACCTTGATTTCCTTTGCCATAAAAAAATTAGAATAACGAGTCAGCTCAAAGGTCATTTATTTCATAAAGATTTCCCTGACTGCTTGACCCTCCATCCACCCTCCACAACTAGAAGTTCTACTTCATCTTGGTTATATATTCCATTGTATTAGTCAAAGTGTTCATCTTTCCCTTGGTTGTATACAAACTCTTAGGGAGTCCAATACAGTTAAATGAGTTTATATTCTGTAAAACGGGTTAAGAATGGAGGATTGTATAGATATAGATTAGATTCATCACTTCAGTTTACAGTCATAGTATTACCATCAGAATTAAATAATACCGAGTGATTTACACGGCTAATTACTTACATTGGTAAATGCCCAGCAAATACGCTATTACAACATACTATATCTCCACAGCATATTACAAACACTAAATCCTAGGGATTAAATCCTCACACTACTTTCTTGCATTATTAAACTACTAAAAAAAATAGCTTACATTTATGCTATTAAAATATTAACCAAAATTTAGTTTAAATTGTTCTATTCAATTCATACCTCAAAAAACAAGATGACTTTAGGGCTCTCATCAAAATCTCGAAGCAAATGGGGGAAGTTTTCATTAAATATAATTTGTTCTTCCCACTCTGGAAGTCTTGATTTCAATTGTTTAAAATCATATGGCTGGGTCATAATAGGAAGAATGTAATCCACACTCCCTTTTTCATAGTAAGATGAAACAGGCCGTTCACTGTCCAAAAAAGATACTTCCATTAACACAATTCTTTATGATAATTTTAAGATGAGAAAAAATACAGTGCTCAAGGTGAAGAAATAATGAATAGTCATGATATATAATGAAAACTTATTTTGGTTTTCCATTGAGAAAATTACAAATTTATGAGACTTAGAAGTGGTAATACCCTACTATTATCTTGTATCTATACACTACCGATTGGTTTCACAGAATTATCTTATTACAGAAATATAAAGTGAGAGTGCAGCATACAGAGCTAGACTCCTTCAGAATCTTAAATGAGTTTGTAATAAAATAGTACAGTACATTTAAATAAGAAAATGAGCACAACAGCATTGCAAACCCTTTGAGGTATGTCATATTTTTTGTATGCCCCAGGATAACTGAATAACTGAATTTTGATAATCTTCATGTTCCTCATCGCTGTCACTTTTCCAAGCAAATGACTTTTTGTGAATTCTAGTATAATCATTTATTTCACTGTGCTTTTTATATGTAAGCTTCAAGCATGTATTAGCTATAGAAGTAATAGTAGGAAAAAATTAAATTCAAGATTCACTGCCTTTGTATGAGGCCCAAGTAACCTATTAACTTCAAAAGAAAAATATGAAGTGAGACAATTAAAGCATGTACAGTGCAACACGCAGTGATTTACACTACAAGTTCAATGCCATAAATTAGTCATTAAGTTTGGAAGCTCTCTCAACTCCCCTCTACTTAAAATGAATCACTGAATTAACAAATGTTCTCTGTTTCTTCTAGAAAAGATACTGATCAGTATCAATGATCTATGAACATCTACAACAAGTAAATTATTCTCTAATACAAACCCTTAGCTCTATTTCCATTGACTTTCAGTGGCAGAAAAGAGGACTTCTACTGTAGACAGTTTCAATTTCAAGGGTTGGCTGTGCAATTAAAAAAATTACCTATCATCTTTCTTGACATATTGACCAGTATTCTCATCAATCACATGAATTTTTACCATTGGGTGAGAAATCATAAAATCGGACTTAAGTCGATCAGTGCGGTGAATGTAAACTCCCAGGACAAGATCATCATCAAGCAAACATTTGGGATAAACTGGACTATCTCGGCTTGTTACTTCATGAACACCATCACCATCAGTTTCTTCATTATCATCTGAAACTACATGCATGGAATAAAATCAACATTATAATTAATTGTTCCCACAACAATATATTCAACAATATACACTGAATTTACATATAACCTTATCTTTATAATCCATGATTATTTGTCTTTGTTAACAAAGTAACTTCAAAAGAAAAGGAAAAAGCCAGACAAGAGTAGATGACACTCGAGAGTAAAGTATTACATTTACTAATGCATTAAAATAGGGTGAGGAATCTTTCTTTTTTTCCCTAACAAGGACCAAGAACACAAAAAGAAAATAATGAGAACCAAAGACAAAAAAGCAATTTTATCTAGGTATTTTCTTAAGTGGAATATGCATCACTCAATTAATTTGTAACTGTAATTTCTACTTCTGGGTAGGATGTAGTAGGATGTAGCCGGTCAATGCTTCTCGTAACAACAACTTGAAAAAGTCAAATGAATTACAAAAACCTTATTTTTAAAGCCATCAGAACAGTACAGAGACAATGTACAGCAGATGAACTAAAATTCCAGAGAGGGAAAATCATTCACTGATACGCTGATGGACTAGTAGCTGTTTTAGTCTCTGGGGACATTTGCTGATTTGGGGTGTGGGCTAATGATCAGGGTTTGGCCCCCACAAAAGGTCACCACTGGGAGAAAGAGTATCTGCAAAACTTTTAGTGGTAAGTGGTTGACGGGGCTACAGCAGTCACATTAGAGATATGAACAGCCTCAAACACATAGCTAATTTTCCCCCACAAAACAATTCTGAGGCTACATGAGAGGCTAAAGTAGTGAAATCTCCCAGGCTTGTGGTACTAGGAGACAATGACCCACCAGGGGAAGGGGCCTGAAACAAAACCGGCAAAATAAAGCCCTAGAGGGCACTTTCCACCTATAGCCACTTTTCACCTGGGGTCACTTACCAATTCTGGGTGCAGGCATGGCCCCTGGCAGAAGGCCCCTACTGGGGGACAGAGAAACCAGCAGAGATTTTGGCACTCACGTGGGGCTGGAGTGACAAAATTGTAGACCTGAGGGGCCAAACACATGGCCAGTTCCCCCCCCAACCCCCCGCTTCAAGATATCTGCCAAATTTTGAAACTGAATGGGGCAGAAGGCTAAAGGACCAGGCTAAAAACCTCAGAAGGGCAAAACTGAATCTCCCAGTCTTTTAGACTGAGGAGACAAATACCTGCCAGATTCTCAGTTCAAAACTCCTGGAAGTCCACATTCTAGGAATGGAGCAAATCAAAGACAGTTTTTATCAAAACTACAATCCAGCCCTGACATAGCTCAATTCCTGATGCATTAAAATCAGTTTCCCACCCTATCTGCCTAAGAGACTAAGAGGAAACCTTTTCTAGTAAAAGATAAAATCATCTGGGACCTCTAGCACTCTACACACAATATCTAGTATAAAAAGTTACTGGGCATAAAAGACACAAGACTATATGACCAACAACTAGGAGAAAAGACCGAAAACAGAAGCTGACCCACAGATGATCCAGACTAGAGTTAGCACACAAGGACTTTAAATAACTATGATTATTAATATGTTCAAGAAAATAAAGGAAAAAATGGGTTAAAATGGAAACTTTCTACAAAGAACTGGAATCCATAAAAAAATGAAAACAGACATTTTCATTTTGGAAATGAAAAACACAGCATCTGAGGGGTGTCTGGGTGGCTCAGGCTCAGTCAGTTGAGTGTCTGATTCTTGATCTCAGCTTAGGTCTTGATCTCAGGGTCGTGAGTTCAAGCCCTGCCTTGGGCTCCACACTGTGCATGGAGCCTACTTAAAAAACAAAAACAAAAACAAAAACAAAAAAACACAGCATCTGAAATTAAGAACTCAATAGATAGAGGTGTTTAATAGTATACTGGACACAAAGAAAGACGTGATTAGTGAAAGAGAAAAAAGATCAGTATCAATATCCAAACTGAAGCATAATGGAAAAAATTTTTAAAAGAATATAGGGAAAAAACATAAGAAATAAGTAGACACACTTAAAAGAATATACATGAATTTATAATCTAGAAAAAGAGGAGGGAATAATGAAGAAGCCACATTCTAAAAAATAATTGAATAACTGAATTTTCCACAACTGATAAGTGATATCAACCAGTAAACTCTAAGCAGGTTAAATTGCAACAAAGCCATATTTAGGCATAACGTGATAAAAGACTGACATCAAAGACAAAAAGAAAATCTAAAGATGAGTCAGAGGAAAAAAAAGTCACAATCCCACTAATGGGACATAACTGCTGGAAACAGAAATGATGGAAGCCAGGAGATAACTATGATTTTTCCAAAGCCAAGAAAACCAACTTGCAACCTACATTCTATGCTAGAAAATAGGATTCAAAAATGAAAGTAAAGGCATTTTACACAACAAAATCTGAGGGGATTAGCATATTAGGAGAAATACTAAACTGAGCTCTTCAAGCAGATGAAAAATGGAAAAATGTAAATTCATTAAGGAAAAAGTAAATTTGGGGGTGAATATAAATTAGTATCAGCTGTACAAAATGGTCACTATAATAGCTGTGAAGTTTAAAATACATGCAGAACTAAAATGCATGATAAGAAACCTATGGGGCAGGAGAGAGAGAGATGCAGAAAAAGCACCTGACAAAATTCAGATGGAATTAAACTATTCTAATGTTCTAGCAGTGTTTTGTTAGGGAAGCATATTTTGTTAGGGAATTAACTTGTATTAGACTGTAGTAAGTCAAGAATAAACTTAATGTTCTTGAGGATAACAAAAAACTATAAAAGAATGTATAATTAACAAGTTAATATAAGAAGAAAAATTTTAAATAATTCAAAAGAAGGAGAAAAAGGAATATAAGACAGGTGGATCATACACAAAACAGTGTAAAACAAACACAAAACAGTGAGATAATAAATGTAAGGACACAGAAAGACTGCAAACAAGAAGGGTTTTTTTTTTTGCTCTTTTGGGGGGGTGCAGCACCTCACATTTACTAAGGGTCTGCCCCCAAGGAGCTCACAGGCTGGGGGCTGAGACCCCCCCATGTTCTAGGGTGGGGGAAGAAAAGAGGTGAAGGCAAAAAAAGAAGGAAATGCAGAGACACTATGTCCCAAGTAAAGGAAGCCTAGGGGGTGGAGTGGGGGAGAAATGGAGTAATGGCAAGCTCTATCTAGACTGGGGACCATGGATCAGGCACAGGTCTGAAGGCTACTACCCCTTCTCTACCAAGTTGGCAGCACCTGGCAGTGTATTGTGGGTTATGACAGAGAAATGAGGATGGGAAAAATTATATTATGCAAACTCAAACTACAAGTAGACTACGAGGGAAAATTATTAGAGATAAAAAAAAGATACCACATAATGATTGTTCTTATACACTGAATGCTTGTGTCCCCATAAGATTCATATGTTGAAATCCTAACCTCCAATGTGATAGTACTAAAAGGTAAGGACTTTGGGAGGTGATTAAGTCATGAGGGTAGAGACCTCATAGATGGAATCAGTGTCCTTATAAAAGTGATAAAAAAAAAAAGGTGATCCCAAAGAGCTACCCTTCTATGGGAGGTTACAGTAAAGAGACATCAGTCTACAACCAGGAAATGGGTCCTCACCACACACAAACCTGTGGGTGCCTTGATCTTGGATTTTCCAGGCTCTGGAACTGTACAAATAACTGTTTATTGTTTAAGCCATCCAATCTATGATATTTTGTTACAGCAGCCTGAATGATTAAGACAACTTGGAAGTGTCAATCTGACAGGAAGATATAAGATTCCTAAACATGCACATAGTCAATAACATAACTTCAAAATACATAAAGAGAAAAAACCTAACAGAAATAAAGAGAAAAGAGAGAAACCCAAAATCACAGTGTGAATTTTAATACCTGTCTCAACAAATGGATAGAATAAGCAAGCCAAAAAAAATCAGGAAGATGAGCTGGACACAATACACTTGATCTGACATACACAGGACACTGCACCCAATGACACCAGAATTCACATTCTTTTTAAGTGCACATGACATATTTAGCAAATTGACCATAAGCTGGTCATAAAGAAAGGCTCAATAAATTCAAAAGATTGAAATCATTCACAATATGTTCTCTGACAACAGTGGCAGATAGAAACCAAAACAGAAAGGTAACTAGAAAATCACCTGTTGGCTGAGACGAAACAATATATTTCTAAAAATGGGTGATCAAAGGAGAAATTAAAATGGAAATTAGAAAATGTTTTTATTGGATGATAATGAAGATATATCAAAAATTTGTGGGATGCAGCTAAAGTAGTAGGTAGATGAAAACTTAAAGCCTTAAATACATATAAAGACTGAAATCTTTTTTTTTTTTAATATTTTATTTATTTATTTGACAGAGAGAGTGAGAGAGCACAAGCACAGGGAACAGTAGAGGGAGAGTGAGAATCAGGCTTCCCACCGAGCAGGGAGCCCGACGCGGGGCTCGATCCCAGGACTCTGGGATCATGACCTGAGCTGAAGGCAGACGCTTAACCATCTGAGCCACCCAGGTGCCCCAAGACTGAAATCTTATAAAATCTATCTTACAAAACTAAAAACAGCAAATCAAAGAAAGGAGAATGAAGAAACTAATACAAATAAAATAACCAAACAGTACACAAATGTGGAACAGATACAATCAAAGCCAATGGCTGATTCTTTGAAAACTGAAAATCCTGAGACTGACCAAGAAATTGAAAAAAAAATAAACAAATTCCAGTATCAAGGGACACCCTTTCAGATGCTGTAGACAGACAAAATTTGAAAATTTGGATTAAATGAACAAATTCCTCAAGAAATAGTCTCTCAAAGCTGACAGAAAAAACAAAATATGAAGAGTGATATTTATTAAAGAAACTAATTCTGATTTAAAATTCTTCTCACAAGGAAACCTTAGCCTAAAAGGCTTCATTAGTAAATTCTTCCGAACATTTATGGAAGAAATAACCAATTTATATAAATGCTTCCAGAGAACTGAAAAAGATGAAACATTTCCCAACTATTTTTGAGATTATCAAAACCTTGATATCAAAAACTCTGGGTATTTCAAGAAAGGAAAAGCACAAACCATTCTCTCTCATGACCCCAGATACAGAAGTTCTATACAAAGTATTAGCAAATCAAATCCAATAACAGATTAAAAAATATATACATATATAGAAAGAGAATACATCATAACCAAGCTGCAGGTCCCTCTAACCCCTGCCAGGAACACAAAGATGGCTTAATATTCAAATAACAATTAACCACATTAATAGAGAAAATGGTGAAAATTTATACGATCAAATCGAAAGACACAGAAAAAGCACCTGGTAAAATTCAGTATCTATTCATGATTTTAAAACACCATTAGCCAATTAGAGTACAAGTTAATTCATAAACTTGATAAAAAGTATTTACAAAAAAGCCCACAGCAAACATTACACTAAGTGGCGAATTAATGGAAGCTTTTCCCCAAGGCATTTAACACTGTAATGGAAGTCCTAGCCAGTATATCAAGGCAAGAAAAAGGAATAAGATATAAGGACTGAAAAAGGCACAATGAAACAATCATTATTAACAGGTGATACAATAGCGATAACGTATGTAGAAAATTTAAAACAATCCATGGATACACTCACAGAAGTAATAAATTTAGCAAAAAAACTGGCTACAATTTTAATTTTTAAAAAATCAATTATATTTCTCTGTGTATATATTTTTATGCATGTATGCACACAAACACACACACCAGCAACAAACAGAAAACAAAAATTTAAAAAAACAATGCCATTTATGACAGCATTAAGAAACATCAAATACCTAGGAATAAATCTAAGGACAGACTCTCCCGAAACTTAACAATATTACCAAGATAAACTGGAAACATAAATAAATGGAGGTGCATATCAATTTCATGGATGACAAAAATTAATACTTTGTAAAGATGTCAACTCTATCTAGAGAGTTGTTAAATTGTAAATCTCTTCAGATTCACCCAATCTGGATCAAAACAATGGTGGGGATGGGGGAAGGAAGAGGGAGAATTGAGAAGCTGCTTCTAAAATTTATATGGAAATGCAAAGGTCAAAGAATAGCCCAGGTAATGCTAAAGAAGAAAAAACTGTTGGAGTACCTACACAGCTGAATAGCAAGATCTGTTATAAAGCTATAGTAATTAAGTCACCTTGTGTTGCTACAGTCTAATGTAACAGAATAGAAACTGATCCATTCCCATAGTCATGTTATTTATGATAAAGGTGACACTGCAATACAGACGAAAAAAGATGCTCTCTTCCATAAATGGTACTAGGTCAACTATATGTTCACACGGGAAAAAAATGGGTCTTAACCACTACCTCTCACCATACACAAGAATCAATTCCATGAACTGCAGAGCTAAATGTGAAAAGCAAAACAAAAAACTTTTAGAAAATAATATATACAAAAACATCTTCAGGACTTGGGAAAGATTTCTCATATCACAGAAAGCACTTACCATCAAAGGAAAAAATGGATAAATAGGGCTATATCAAATTTTAGAATTCTGGGTTTTTCAAGAGATACCAGTAAGAGAATAGTAAAACCTAGAGTGGGAAGATGTCTGCAATATATACGTGTGTACGTGTTCATATCTGAGAAAAGACTGATGTCTAGCTACATAAAATATTCTCACAAATTATAAAAGGCAGACAATGCCATTTCTTAAAAATACACACAAAAGACTTAAACAAATGTATGAATAAAGAAATCCAAGTAGACAACAAACATGAAGAAGATGCTCAATTTCATTAGTTATGAAAGTTTAAAGTAAAACTGAAATATTGTTATACACTATACACTAAGAATGGCTAAAATTTTTAAATACTGACAATATAAATTTTAGATGTGGAGCACTGGAGGCTCTCAAATACTGCTAGTATCAACTGGTAAATCAACTTTGGAAAATGGGAAATATTTATTAAAGTGAAAAATATACATAATCTCTGACATAGTAACTCTCTCCTAGGAAGATGCCCAACAAAATAAATATGTTAGAAAGCAGTGAGGAATACTTTTTCAGTTTTTCTTTAGATGCTAGATTTCAAGGATCACAGCCATGTTTCTAAGTAGCGTTTCCCAACCTGTGTCCTACCAAGTTAGTAGTTCTGAAAGACACAAGAACTTCATAAATAAAGAATTCTATGCTTAAAAAAAAAAAGATGCCCAACAAAAAATGTATATATAAAATGCTTGCCAGAAGACACGACTAGAATATAGTTTTATTTGTAAACACCTAAAACTAGAAATAGCTCAAACGTCCACCCGTACAATTGGCAAATTATTCACACAATGGATATCTATATAGTGCAAAAGCAGAACTGATAATGAAGAAGTTCAGCTGCATGCAACACAGTCTAAATCTCACAAAAATAATTTTGAGTGAAAGAAGTCAGGCACAAAGAGCACAGTATTTCTGATTCTATTCACATTAAAGTAGAAAAACAGGCAAAAATAAACTGTGTTAGATGTTAAGATAATGTTTACTCCTGAAGAGCAATGAATGGGAAGGGGACTTTCGGGGTTTCTGGCGCTAACAGTGTTGTTTCTTGATTTGGATGACGATTTTACAAGCAGTTCAGTTTGTGAAAATCCACTAAGTAGTCTACTTGTAACATGTACACTTTTCTATGTATATATCATATTTTAATGAAGTTTTTAAAAATGTATAAGAGGAACAAAGCATCATCAATTGTATAGCCAATGAACAACTACCATAAATTCTAAAATTGCCTATTTTGGTCCCAAATTTTTAGCCAATTAAATGGAGATTGAAAAGGAAAAAAAGAATGTAAGAAGTAGGAAAAAGGCAATAACAAGTAAAGGAACATAAGAGGAGGAAAGAAACGAGTAAAGAGGAGATAGAAAGCAAGAGCGTGGGAAGGAAAAGTGGGAAGGAAGGACAGAAGCTGAATTAGGCTGAGGACGTCGGAAGACAATCACGTGGGACAGAGGGATGCAGCCTTAACATCTGAAAAGTTTATTGGCCATTGACCATTTATAGCTTTCAATAAATATGAGTCTGAATTATTTAGGAGTTCTAAAATCAATGGTATAAAGAAGAAATCTGTGCCAAAACAGCAACAAAGTTAAGGTCATTCTAGGGTTCAATTAAATTAAGTCAAGAATTAGAGATGACGTAAGTAATATTAACTCACCACAGAGACACATAGTTACAAATAAATGAATGTTTTAATATACATGAATCCAAGAACAAGGGCCACATACAGTTGGCCCTTGAACAATGCCAGGGTTAGGGGCGCCAACCCCCTGGGCATTTGCAAATCTGTGTTTAACCTCTGACTCCCCCAAAACTTTACTAACAGCCTGTTGACCAGAAGCCTTATTGATAATATAAAGAGTAGATTAACACATATTTTACATGTTACATGTATTATATACTATATTCTTACAATACAGCAAGCCAGAGAAAAGAAAGTGCTATAAGGAAAAAGGAAATACATTTACAGTACTATACTTTTTTATCGAAAAATAATCTGTAAGTATACCTACACAGTTCAAACCCATGTTGTTCAAGGACCAACTGTATTCTATATTGGATTTTTTTAATTATAGTCTTTGGGACTGGATTTTCTTTAGTTTTAAGGACTCAAAGTCCTAGAATCAAGTTATTTCCACCAAGGCACATATTTTTCATTTAATTTGGATAACAAACCTGTTTTAGCCTTCTTTTTCTTTTTTTTTGGTTTGAATTTTGTGTCATCTTGCATGCTGTCTTCTACATTGTCTTCCATTGAGCTTATCTTATCATCTTGTTGAGAATCTGAAGTAACTGTTCTAACTGGAGAGCCCTTCTTTTGTTCACTTTCAACTGTGTCATCGGAGATGGTCAGTGTACTGCAAATACAACCAAAGTACAAGCCATTACAAATACATTCTTCTTCTTTTTTTTTTTTTAAAGATTTATTTATTTGACATAGAGAGACACACACAGTGAGAGACGGAACACAGCAGTGGGAGCGGGAGCGGGAGAAGCAGGCTTCCCG